AGCTGCAGTACCATGGGAGTTGTTGATCACCTGAAGGCAGCAGTGACACAGAAACCCTCCCACGGGCAGTCATTAACAGAGCTCAGAGCAGCCCTGGCCAAAGGGCACCAGGCTGCTCTCCTGGGAGAGCTCCACAGCTTCAAACCCTGCTGAGCAGAGCTTCTGGGCACCCAGACCTTTCAGCTCTATTTCATATTGTGCTATTTTATTGTAGGAAAAACACTTGTCATGGCTTATCTGTCTGACAATGAAAGTGTTTGGTGCTGGAAAATGAACATCCAAACCCATGCCAGGGCCTCACCACCCTCACAGGGAACAATTCCTAATTCCCAAACTCCCATCCATCCCTGCCCTCTGGCAGTGGGAAGCCATTCCCTGTGTTCTGTCCCTCCATCCCTTGTCCCCAGTCCCTCTGCAGCTCTCCTGGAGCCCCTTCAGGCCCTGGCAGGGCTCTGAGCTCTCCCTGAGCCTTCTCCTCTCCAGCTGAGCACCCCCAGCTCTCCCAGCCTGGCTCCAGAGCAGAGGTGCACAGGAGATGCTTTGTTGTCATCCAGTCACAGAATTTGTTCTAAATCTAAAAGCAGCATTGGACTATTTTCTGTTGCCAGTTTTGATGGAGAGAGCTATGTTTGGATTGGAGAGGGATGGCACAGTGATCAGCTCAGTGCTGCTCTCCACGGAGTGAAACACCCTGTTCAGTATTGAATTTACCTATCAGCACTTCTGACTTTGATTTCTGGAGAATAATTCCTGAGCACTTGCACTCCCCACGAGTCACCCTAAAATCAATAAACAGAGTTCCAGAGCAGCTTAGATTTGGCTGCTGCCAGAGCTGCAGCTCAGTGGAGTCCGAAAATCCCTGGGATATCGCTCTGGGAGCCAACAGTGCCATGAATGGGCAGGGAAAGCTTTGTGTACAGCTGGGCTGCATCTGGATACAGACACAGGCTCTGAGTTTCACAGCAGCACGGTGCTGCTCCTAAAACCAAGGAAAGGGGATAGAGGGGAGCTGGGGAGGATGGGATTGTTGGGGTGTCCTGTGCAGGACCAGGAGCTGAACTCGATGATCCTTGTGGATCCCTTCCAGTTCAGGATATTCTATGATTTTTAGTTCCTACATTTTAAGAGCAGTTCAAAGGAAAACTCCTGTGTTGGCCCTGCTTGAAATACAACACTGTGGTCACTGAATGGGATTTGAAGGACAAGCAGTTTAGTGGGTATTTTTTCTTTAAGAAGGTAATCTTGGAATTTCTTGGCTCCATTTCAGAATTTCTGCAACACAATGGAGTGTCAGAGTCATGGCAATCCAGTGGGAACACAGGTTTTGCCAGGGTTGAAATGTGAAGCAGAAAACAGGTATTTTATTAAGAGTAAAAACTTTATCACACACCTCAGAAATATACTTTAAATGCTTTGGAGAATTTCATATGGTCTAATTCACTTCACAATGAATAAACAAACAGCCTGGTTTATGGCAGGTGTCCCTGCCATGGGCAGGGGTGGAACAAGATGAGCTTTAAGGTTCTTTCCAATCCAAACATTTCTGGGATTCTGTGATATGGTAATAATTAACTCCTGTATCCCTCAGTGTGCTAATAGCATCTTTCTCTTCGTGGCTGGGCTAAGCAGACATGGCCAAGCTCCTTAAAGCAAACCTTCTGAAAGGCACCAGTGCCCCAGCAAGGGCCAGCAGCCTCTGCCCTGAGTGGTCCAGGCTGTGCCCAGTACATTTCCCACATCCACACCTTCCTGCTGCCCACTCAGTCAACAATAAGCCTTCTGAGCTCTGATAAAAAAAAAAAAAAGTCATAATCTATTAAAAGCTAATAATCATTCTAATAATTTTATTTTAAAATATTTTAATTAATTAGTATCTTAGCTAAGTCTTCTCTTAATATGTTAATTAATGTAATGAGTTAATTGTACACTTTATTTCAATAAGGTGTTCAGACAACACCTTCAGGCACAGGGTGGGATTCTTGGGGTCTTCTGTGCAGGCCCAGGAGTAGGACTCAATAATCCATGGGGGTCCTTTCCAGCTTGGGATATTCAAGATTCTGTGAATTATTCTGAGTTCAAAATGAAATCCTGCCCTGAGATTAGGGGAAGGATTTCCCTTGACTCAGCTAAACCCAGGTTTAAACAGGTCTGTTCCTGTCAAAAGACAGCTCACTGGAGCTGCTCCTTGGCACTGCACCCATTTCAGCTCTCTGCACGGGAGTTGCACACACTTCATTGCACCTGTGTGACAGTCAGCTGGAACTTGTACCAGCCTTTAACAAGAATCCTATTTCCTGCCTTTGTATCCCTCAGATACTCATGTACTCTGCTTATTTCACACTCTTTAATTACTCTCAGGCCTAATGTTCCACCTATTACACTTACCTGTAGGTTTTCCCCCTGGTCTGATGAGGTTTGCTCCAAACTGAGGAAGAGCTGCAGTGTTGTCTGTGCCTCCCTTTCCTTGCAGCATGCAGGCAATTGCGGCAGTGCTGGGCAGCTGATGAGGAGCCCATCAGGAATTACATCAGGCTCTGAGAGCAGCCTCAGCCTTGCTCTCTGTAAACAGACATCAAGGGCAGGCTCTGGCTGCTCTTTTAGCATAAACCCTTCAGTGGCTTGTACCAGGACCCAACAGCTTCAGCAGGCACAGTGGGAGTTGGGACAAATTTATTCTTGCAGGAGTTGGGAAATTCAAATTACACCCCTCCTTTTCTTCCTTATCCCTCCTCATTTTAGAGAGCTACTGCAGAAGCCACTTCCAGCTGAGAATCAGGGTTAATGTGCAGCATTTTGGGACACTGGGATTGATTGACCAGTGGTTGCTCCTTTCCCTTAATTTACACAGACTTGTTGGGAGTGTACTAAAGGCTGTGTAATACTTAAAGTGAGGTATGAGGTACACAGGGAGTAGCAAACTCCCTCACAGAACTGGGACTTCCATGACTTGAGCCTTTCTCTGCTTTTATGTTGTGCTGGGTTTAACTAACCAGCTCAACATCTTCTGTATATAGTTTTAATGTCAAAGCAGTGTTTTTTCAGAAACATTCTCCTATTTCAGAAAGGACCTTTTCAGTCACCAAAAATACAGTCCTTAGTAGCATTATGTGGCTTGTAATAGCTTTATTTTGAAGATTGCTTTAATACAACAGGCTGGAAGAGAACAGTGTCTGATTTTCTAATGCCTCTTCACTGGAGTGGTTTCAAGTGTCTGAAACAAACCAGTCTAAAAATCCAATTCCACTACAACCATAGAACAAATAAGAACAAATCTGATTTCTCGTGTTGCAACAACACACACACTGACATCTGATGCCTCCAATAGCTCCTGCCAGGACCCATCTTTACAGAACGATGACATTAAATTCACAGCTTCAGCTTGGGGGCTGAATGCCACACCATGCTCTGATGGCTCTAGAATTGAGGGAGGTCTGTTCTTTTGGGAGGCTCAGGTGAAAGCAAGAAACTTAGCTGAACTTGTCTCTTGACCAGTGTATCTGAGACTTGTTTTCCTCTCTTTCAATGGTTTTTGTTTCCCCCTTGCATATATATCAGGTATTTTATCATTTGTCTTGTAAAGCAAAAACCTGTCTGCACCTATGAGTCCAGCTTGCTGCTTACCCAGGGACAGAGCAAGTGGGACTTTTTGGCATAAAGATGTCACAGAATCTTTCAGGTTGGAAAAGGCCCTTTGACAGAATCCAACCATTAACCCAGCACTGCCAGTATCCGCTATCCCGTCTGTCCCTGCCCCTCCATCCCTTGTCCCCAGTCCCTCTGCAGCTCTTCTGGAGCCCCTTCAGGCCCTGGAAGGGGCTCTGAGCTCTCCCTGGAGCCTTCTCTTCTCCAGGTGAACATTCCCAGCTTTTCCAGCCTGGTTCCAGAGGGACTCCAGCCCTGGGAGCTGGTCCAGGGACTCCTCTGGACTCTCTCCAGCAGTTCCACATCCCTCCTATATGGGAGACTCTCAGCTGCCACGCCCCAAGTTCTCAACAAAAGCATTAAATTTTTAATGCATCAAACTCCCCTGCCATGACCATGGCATGAGCACCCACAGCCCCTCTGCAGGCACAGGGATATTCATTAGCAGTGGTTTCTCTCCCAGAAAAAGCCCAACAGGTCTCAGGTTTCACACCACAAGGGGAATTCTGAGCACACCTTTCTGCATGGAAGGGCACAGCACACAAATCATTCTCCTGGGATGTGGATCTGGGCTGGGGCTGGGTATTCTATTTTTGGAGCAATACTGGAATGTTTCCAAGACCACCGTGACACAATCACTGCACCATGGGTGGTAAACAAGTCCCCACTACTGCTCAGCCCTTCCTGCACTGCTTGCTGAGCATTCTTTCACCACTGCCTGTATTACAAGGGTTCTTGGCATGCTGTCACCTCATCCTTGCACCCCTTGGAATACACACATGGGAAAGGCAAACCAGCCCTTAGCCCACTGCACAGCTCCCACCCACTGGGTGGAATCCACAGACACCTCAAGGTGAGAAATTACCTGGTGAGACAACACTGCCGAACCAGCAGCTGCAGTGGGTAGCACAGGATTTAAACCTTCTGTAAGCATACCACCTAGGTCTATAAAATGTTAGGTATTATTAAAGCTTTTAAGGCATTTGGTACTGCCAAAATCAAATCACAGTGTTTCTCTGCCTGAGCCTTACCTGCAGATACCTTACCAGCTGCAGTTGTGTTAGGACTACTCAAGATTTTTATGCAGCAATTTAAACTCGTGCCCAGAAACCAGGTCTGGAACAAGCAGAGCTCCTGCACCTTCAGCAGTAAATGGATGTTCTCTACCCAAGCAGCAAAGTCTTGTATCAAAGATCTTAAACAAAAGTTAATACTAGAATAATTAACACTCTAATTATGAGTGTTGGAATTATAGTGAAGACCAAACATGGCCTTGAGTTTATTTCAATGCTGGCACTGTTTTTTCCTCTAAAATTCACATCTTCATTTAGGAGAAAGTAAAGGCAATTCACCATCAGTTGCACAAAATGCTGTATTTTATTAACTAAATAAAAAAGTACAGTTAAATTCACACAAAATGTTCAATATAAGCAATACTTAACATGTTTATAAGCTAGGACTGTGTCTGATTTGCAATTTAAATAGTGGCTGGTGTGAGCACAGCACATTAATGCTGCAAGGTGCTCAGAACTGACATCATACTACCCCACAGAACAGTGCCCAGCTGGAGCCCTACCAGAACTACTGCGGTGGTGCACTGCAATCACATCAAAAACATGGACTGATTTTTAACAATTCCATGTGAAACCACACCACCATTTTTAACTGGAAACTTCCCTCCTGCAGCACTGTAAATAATGCACCACTGAGAACTGGGAGTGCCCATGCCTGGTGAGAAAGCACCAGCTTTCAGGGGAACTGGAATCTCATACTTTTGGGGAAAGAAAACTGGAGTTTTTCCACTTGAAATGCACCAAGCCAAAGGAAGATGTATTTCAGCTCCCTGTGAGCACACAGTACCAGTACTGTGATATCCAGCTCACACCACCGCCACCCTAACCTCAGGGGCCTCCAGCTCACTCTGGAAGGAGCTGCCTTCCCAGCACAGCCTCTTACTTACCACAGCCCAGTGTCTCCAAAGTGGCATGTGCAGCCCCAATGTCACCATGCTGCATTCCAGCCAGCATTCCTACACTTCCACTGGGAACCAAATCTGCTAAGACACAGTTTTCATTAAGCCCCAGTAAGCTTAGAAATTCCTTGTCCTTTCTCTCCATGTCCCAAAGCTTCAGTTTGCAGGCTGGAGCCCAAAAGGTCCTGGTGTTATAACAAAGCCCTAAGAAAGGCAGCAGGTTGTATAGTTACCTCCTTGTGAGCAAAATCCCTGCCCTAAAACTATGCAACCTACTACCTCTTCCTAGGAGCCCCACGCTTCCTCTGTGCAGTTCTTCACTCTCTGCAGGGCTTTAGCTCCCCAGCTGCTCTGCTCTTCTGCCCTGGCTGGGCACACACTCCGAGGTGACACTGCAGCACTGACAAACAGTGGCTCGCTGCCTGTAACACTCACCAATGGCTCCATTTTCACTCTCCCTAAGCTGAACTTCCCATCCCAAAAAGCATTTATTTCTGTGGGGTTTTTTGTTACTACAGCAAGCTGCTTGCTGGGCATGCTAGCACAGAACCAGTTACCAGACTGGGTACACCAAGCACAGCAGGAGGAAAGAGAATGCAATAAACTTTACAAGTCTTTTTATAGAAACAATACCACCTCAGAGAAAAGTTCCGGCTCTTGGATGCTCAAACTCCATAGTTTCACAAAACCCCAGAAAGGTGAGTAGTCATTTTTGGCCAAAATTGGCCAACACTTAAATTTTGCATTAGATCTGGAAAAGCTGCAGAAAAACATGCAGACTTAATCAAGGGTAATTTTAAGTTTTTCCTCCAACTTCTGTCATGGAGCTTGAATGCATTATGGAAATTGGGGTGCCCAAAGAGTTTAAGTCACAATGTACAAGCTTGAGCTCCCTGTATTTCATGTTCTTCTAAGTGGCTTGGAATTGCTTCCCTCTGTGGAGTGTTCTACCCTCTACCTAAAGAATAGGCATTTTCCATTCCCAGCCAGCACTATGCCACTCAACTTGGGAGCAAAGTTATGTTAAGTCAAGGATATTCTGTGGGGGCTGTACCACTTACAATGACTGTCAGTCCTGTAGATTCTGGCACTGCTGCTTTCCAACCCTGAATTCATCTGGTTTCACTTCCACAAGTGTTTTTAGCCCAGTACTGGCTGCAAGGGAGCGCAGTTTGTTTTACTCCTCAGGGAAGGCAATAGATTGTATAGTTATCTCCTGAACAGGGTAAAATAACTACCCTACAACTATACAATCTACTACCTCACTCTGACAGAGAAGCACAGACTTCAGCAAGAGCTCAGCAGCCAACCTCAGTTTCATTCTGAAGGATGTTTGATACAACACCCCAACAACTGGAACACCAAGAATCTGTATTTGATTACCCCACCATACACATACAGGAAAAATCTGTTCTTAACCTTTTACTCATTAGGGCAGAAAAATTAATGCAAAATGAAACCTAGCTTTTCCAAGAACTAGAAAAATCTAAACACAATTCCCACAGCTGTTACACAAGTATTTTGTCCTGTCATAAGCATTACAAGTAGATAAGTTCAGCAAAATCTGACATTGAGCTTAAAACTGAAAAGCTTCCATTGTCGATTATCTGCTGCTTTAGGAAAGACAGTAGATTGTATAGTTATCTCCCAGTGGTGGGTATGACCCTAAAACTATACAACCTACTACCTCATCCCACAGTGCAGGCATCTTCAGAGCTGGGGCAGGATTGCTGCTTCAGTCAAGACAAGTCAGGCTAGCTGCAGACAGCATTTATAATACCACAGAGAAAGCCTTCCCCTTGGTCCCCCTAGTCACAGAAGGAAGTTATTTTAAAAATAAGGCTTCCATATTTCAAAATTTTACCAAATGCCTGGGTCTTAAGTAAGCAAGCTGTAGCAGTCACAGCAACAACAGTCATTAAGTTTCTGTAGAATTACCAGTCGTGTTCCACAGGTGTCATTCTCACCTGAAATCAGAAGAAAAGGCTCTCAGCAACACTGTAGGCACATATACATTTCTTCCTCTTTAGAACTTAAAAATGATGCAATCTAGGACCACAGCTATGTGACTGATTTATACAGATCAGATTGAGGCCCTAATATTTGTAATCCTGATTGAAAAATAATATTACATAGAGTGACCTTTTCACCTATTGCACCAATAGCTAAAGAAAAAAAAAAAAAAAAAAAAGGTCACGCACTGTCCAAAGTACTGCTTGGAGCTTTTTCTGCTAGTCTTAAATTACGTTAAGCCTTGTGCACAGGAATTTTTTTATTAGAAGCAAAACTCAATAAGATTATGGCCTCTATCCTGACATTTTGTTAAACTGCCTTACCAAAAGGCCACTGAAAAGACATGTTTTCCCATCAGAAAGAAGTCTGAGTTTCTCTAACTGCCTCTGATGTAACTTTAAAGCCAATTTCCACATTAACATAGCTCACCATCATCTTTGAATACTGAAATGAAAACACTTGCCAGACAGATGTGTGACTCAGAATTACCTTCGTAGCAAGGGCAGCTCGAGAACAGGGCTGGAAAGGAAAACGATTGTTTGTCCAGGTAGTTTATACAATAGCCAAAAAGGTTTCGAGAAAAGCAGTTTTTAAAACTCTAAATACATTTTACTAGTACTTGATCCCAGTTGCAGTTTTCAGCCCACTCTCCAAACAAAGCCTGCACAGAACAAGAACACCCTCATGCCCGCTGGTGTCCTTGCCAAGCACACAGCGCGTGATCCCGTGCACTCACACAAAGGGATGACGTTATTCCTTGGACAGACACAAAATCAAATTACTTTCCAGCCCCCCAGTGCCTTACTACAGAATCCTTTATACAAACAGTGATGACAAATTCGTGTGAATCAGCCTTAAAATCTCACTTGTAATTGGTATAAATCCCATTATGTGCTTTTGCTAACTTACACATCTACCAGAAAAATAAACCTTAGTGTGGACACAAGTACTTGGTCCTGATGCCCAAAGCAGGAATAAATCAGAACAGCAGCTCTGGGCCAGAGTCAAACCTTTATAGAGCACTGGCCTCCATTGCATCCTTTTAAATAGTTCTGGCAGAGCTGACATTCCTTTCAGCTCCCTGCTCCTGCATCCCAGACTTCAGCAGCTGAACAGAATCCCTGTGAATTCCCATTCTTCAGGGGGAAAGGCAGCCTGGCCTGGAGCTGAGCTGCACAGCACCAACTCTGCACCTTCAGCTGGATAGTGACCCCACAAAGTAAATGAAGTCCCACACTCAGTGTCTGAAGGTGATGGTTCTGTGATGTACTGAAAACGCTTGAAGCACACTGAAAACCTGAATGGGTGTTACACACCTGTTTAAATATTAGAAAATGTAAGGCAATACTTCTGCATTTCTTTTTAAAATTAAGGCTGAAAGACACAAGGATTACAATAAACCAGAAATTGATCTGTTTTATTTCTCCACCTTTAGACAAAGCTCAGTTGCAAACGTAACCAACCTAACATGTATCATATAACTTTTATTTTTAGTATTCTGCTTTACATTAGTCCTGCATTTTGGGGCATTTTTAACTTGTGGATTATTTCTAACAGTCTTTCCAAGATGCATCACCCAGGGTGCCATATTCTTGGACAGGTGAGATCTGCCAGGTCCCCTTGGGGGCCTGCTGTGGGCTGCTTCTCTCATACCATGCATCAGGGGGTTCTGGCACCCACAGCAGCAGGGAAGCCTGACAAATTATCCTGCTGGCACAGCCTCTACTGAGCTGGTGTGTTCTCATCCCCAGCGAATCCAGAGCCAGGAGCTCCCTGCTGCTGATGTCACCGTGCTGCTGATGTCACACAAGTGCAGCACAGGAGCTCAGGGTCATGCACCTGCACATTCACTCTTTCAGCACAACACACTGTGAAAGACAAGCTTTAAACAATCTCTGAGCCATCTGCCTTTCCCTGTTAAAAAAGCCAGGTTCCCAAGGGCTGCTTTTCCTTCCAGCACGTGTTTAAAATCCCCAGAGCTCTGCAAGGGGACAAACTGACTCTAACTGTGGAGCTGGATGATCTCAGCAGCCGCAGCTCCCAAGGCTGCAGCTCTGGCTGCACAGCTCCCACCACACGATGGAGCTCCGGGATTTACACAACAGCTCCAACACCAGTTCTTCAGTTGTATCCCTGGATTCCAGCAGCACTCCCTGCACTGAAGCCACACTTCCTGAATCCCAGGAGCTTGCTGAGTGAACATGTACTACCTTCTCCAGCTGTGCTGAGCATCCCAAGTGACTGATGCAGGCTCCCGCCTCAAATGTGCTCGTTCCATGGGGGTTTTGTGTGACTGGAGTGCACAACAGGAAGAAAGGGAGCAGCACAATTAATATAAACTTCATTATTGCTGATACCACTTCCCCTCCCTCCACTCACCCACCCCTGCACTGCCTGTCGTCACATGCAACAGGCACATCTCAGCTGCTCTTCCCAAAACAAGCTCAGGAAAATCAGACAGTGACTGACACAAAACTTTCAGCATAAACTAAAAATGTTTCCTCTTCCATATTCAGTTTTGGATTGTACCTTCCTTTGTCTTAACGTGTTAATCTGAAGGTAACATCTCCCAGCTCAAGCCCAGGCACCTCTTCTTCCCCTACGCAGACCCAAAGTCGAAACATTTAATAAACCTCCTTTTGGACCTGCCAGCCCACAGAGCAGCAATACACTGGATCAAGAGTAAATCACACTAGAAAGCTGCTCTGAACTGAGAAATTATACTGAGGAGAAAAGGAGAACAAGCAGTTCCAGCACAAAAAAATGCACAGATGTGCTCTTGGGCAGCACCACAGTCCACACCCCCAGACAGAAATACATGTCCACAAGGGTATTTTTGGGAATTTTTTATACAACATTAAGATTAATAGTACTGACTGCTACCAATAATGCCTTTATCTACTGTCTCAACTGGAAATACAAGGTTTTTTCCCAAAATCTCTACCCCACTTGCATTTAATTAACACAGTGCAATCTGGCTTTAAGCAATTATCACAAGACTGCTGTTGTGCTACATTTTCAATTAGTGTGTTTGGTTTCAATTGGTTTCAATTTATTTTTCTCACCATATAGTTATAGATGGAATATGAATATCCAGAAACCATGGCCTGAGAGAAATGGCACATCACCACTGCCCATTCAAGCACAGAGTGAAGCCCATCTCCTGCAGAAAAGTCTGTGAGCACAATTAATGATTTCTGCTATGAACACAGAAGACAAATCCTGGCCTCTCTCTCTACACACACTTGATTCTATAGCAATAGTACTCAACTCTTTGCATCCAAGTGATGCATGTGCCACAGCATTGCACAGTGCTGCTGGAAACCTCAGGAAGGCCTGAGAATGACTACACCAAAATGGGCACATTTTCTACTCCTCTTTGAGTACTGCTCTCTCAGAACACAGAGAGTGAGATCTTTACAAATAAATAAATAAATGTACACTTCAGCCTCAAACATTACAAAGGCCTCAGTGCCCTTCTCAAAGGAAAACATCAGTCTGGTTATCTGGCCCTGCTTCAAACATAAATGTCTGTGTACATATATACACATACATATATGAAATACACAACTGTGTATGTATTCACTAGATTTACATCTCCTAGAATGTGCTAGGAGCAAGGAGGCTTTTTCTGCAAAAAGTTTACAAATTATAACAATTACACAAGTTCAGCAAGAAAGTTAGTGCACAAAAATATTTCAAGAATGCTGTGTTACGTTATTAATTGGCAATATAAACAAACATCTATTACCCTCTCTAAGTCCTGGGAGCCTTTCACTATTTGCAAATGAACTGATGTTTTCCACCACTAAACCAGAAGAAAACAGAGAAGACATTCATCAAAAGGAAAGTGAAGTAGGGATACAGCTCATTGCAGCAGGAAAACAAAGCAAGTTGAACTCATGTTTTATCTAAATTTCCTTTAGACTAAGGAAGCACTAAATCTCCAGTATCAGTATGCAAAATAATTTCCTAGCACGACCTATGTGATTTGAGGTTGCACTTAAGATACACAGAGGACAGCTTGGGAAAAACTCAGTGAAAAAAAATCACAGCCAGCAAATTTCCATTAAAAATATCACAATACAGCTATTTACTCATGAGGCTAACAATCATAGGGAAAAAACCCCTCATTAGCCCATTACTGCATGTTGGCTGCAGCAAGTTTCAACCTCCAGTGCAAAAAACTTCTTGGAAGTTCAGACTATTAAACATCTGAGTGTTTCTGTGCACAGAACTGACCAAACTTGACAACAGAAGCCACCACAAACTGTTTGGTGAGGCCCCTGGCAGCTGGGGATGTTTGAAGATGCCCTGCTTCCTAAATATTATTTAAGTTATTGCTTTTGAAGGGACAGATTGATTTTCTCAAAAATTCTGTGATGGATTCAATTTGCCCACTGCTGCTACTGAGCATTGTTCCTGTGTACAATTTGAATGGGAGCACGTTTTCCCTACCAATTAAGCACTTCAGTCACAAAACTACCTGCGCAAAGCAGTACAGACAGAGAGCAGCACCAACAATTTGGGAAAGGCACATCACTAAACAAGGATTATCCCAACCTTGACCATCAGGTTGAGTTTTTACTCCTCAAATAAATCACACAATTATTATGGTTGGAAGGGACCTCTGGAAATCATCCAGTCCAACCCCCTGCCAAGGCAGGGTCACTCAGAGCAGGTGACAGAGGAATACATCCAAGTGGGTTTGGAATGTCTCCAGAGAGGAGTCTGGAGATGTCTCCACGCCCTCCCTGGGCAGCCTCTTTCAGTATTCTGCCACTCTCATGGAAAGTTGTAATGTAAAATCATAAAACCACAATCTGATGGGGTAAAACCTCCATCTAAAACTGACTGAGCCGTGATAGAATAAAATCACCAGCTGCAGCGTGCCAGGGCCGGACCCTGCTCTGTGCCACCACCAGCCCTGCAAGGGAACCCCCATGCGCCGAGCCCTGAGCCGGCCCGGGGGCTGAGCGGCCCATGCCAAAGGCAAGAGCCACGCCTGCAATGCCCAGAGGCCAGCCACAGCCGCGGACACCAACTGCAAGTACGTGTTACACCAGGGCACCTCTGCTCCATCGGGGTGCCGCTGCTCAGGTGCGCAGCCAGCCCCGAGCACGCCGTGACCGCCTTGGCTGCGATGTGCCCGTGTCACCCCACCCGCTGCCGGGCAGGGCCGCGCTGCTCCCGTGCCGCAGCTCCCGACCCACTTGCAGGACAGGCCGCTCATGAGGAAGCGGCGGGCGCCGCCGGGGGCCGTGGGCCCGGGAAGGCGCAGCCCCACGCCAGGTAACGGTGTCCGCTACAAACGACAGCCCCGCGCAGCCCCGTGCCCCCAACAGGGACTGGGCCGGCAAGGCACTTCCACCTACTTTCTAAGGGATTTTCTCCACCTTTCGCCCCTCGGTCCGAGCTCAGCCCCCACTGCCGCCCTCTCGCTGCCCTGGCAGGGCTGAGCCCCCCCCGGCCCCGGTACCAGGGGGGCTCCCCCGGCCAAGGTCCCCCCGGCCCCGGCAGTGACGTACCTGGCGCCGGAGGCTCCCGGGGGCGGCACTTCCGGACCTTCCAGTGAGCCTGGAGGAGAGCGGGGAAGAACGAGGGGAAAAGGCATCGGTGAGGGGAACAAGGACAATGAACCGGGCCCACGGCAGAGGCGGCGGAGAGGCCGGGCCGAGGCCCCGCGCCCGCCCGTACGGGCCCCTCGGCTCAGTCCCTCCGCCCCCACCCTTCCCCCGGCGCTCCCCAACCCCACGGCCGCTCCCGCGCTCCCCCGGCCCCACGGCTGCCGTCCGACCCCACCGCCCCGGTACTTGCGGGACCCGGATGAAGTCGCGGCCGCTGCGGCCGCCGCTCCCGCGGCACCACGGGAAGGGCGCCGCGCCCCGCCCGCCGCAGCCGCCGCCCGCCCGTCAATCACCCGCCGCCTCCCGCGCCCATTGGCTGTGGGGCCGTAAAGTCCCGCCCCCGCCCGGGAATCTAGCTCTTCATTGGTCAACTATGAATAGGGCCACGCCCCCTCCGCCATTTATTTCGGGCGCGTTACACAGCGGTCCCGTAATGGCGCTCCCGGCGGCCGCGGGTCGCGCCTGCCTTTCCCCGCCTCCACCTCGGCCCTGCCCTGCCGGGCGTAGGACCCCGCGGCCCGGCTCAGTCCTGCCTTGCCCTGCCCTGCCGGGGGTGAGCCCTGCGGCCTGGCCCGGCCCTGCCCGTGTCTGCCCCGCGCCCCTCGGGCGTTGGGTGCGGCATTAGCACCATTACCGGGCTCGGGGGCCTTGGGCCCCGTGGCCCATCGCACAGAATCGTGGAATCATCAAGGGTGAAAGAGCCCTTTAATGTCACCCAGCACTGACTGTGTGACCCCTAAAGCGCCCAGCGCCACACGCAGACACCTTTGGCACACCGCCATGGATGGTGACTCCGCCACTGCCCTGAGCAGCCAGCCCCTCCAATGCCCGACCACCTGAACAGCGAAAACATTTTTCTAATATCTAATCTGAATCTCCTCTGTCTCAGCTCAAGGCCATTTCCTGTGATCCTCTCACTGCAGGCACACCACCACCTCACCAGGGTCCAAATAACCTTTTCTGGTTGTACTCCTGATTGATTTTTGCAGCTTTTGGGGCATGCACCGGGTCTGCAGGGAGCATCAGCCTTTCAGAAGAGAAGTGGTCCTTCAGCTCCTTAGTGTGTCTGCTCAGGTGGATTCATAAAAGTCCTTCAGCTCCTTAGTGTGCCTGCTCATCAGGACTCATAAAAGCTCAGGGACAGAAAGGCCATGTTTAAAATTGAACTTCAAACATAGCACTTGTTTTCAATTTTCACAAGATTTTTGGGATAGGTCTTGATTCTAATAAATAAAAGTATTGGCTATAATAATATAGTATTTATAATCTCTCCAGTGAGCCTTCAATTAGATTATTATATATATATCTATATATAATGATATTCAGTGTCAAATATTGAAGTAAATAAAACTCTGAATTCACTACGTATTCTTGTCAGAATTTTTTTCTTTTGAGTAATTTTTTTAATAATGAAACTTATCAGTTCTTAACAATTTTTTTTTTTTTGATTACGTATATAGAGTTGGAATGATGAAGTTTATGTGTGTCTGGTGTCTTGCTTCAGAAGTAGTACTTTTTAGCCCAGATTCAGGAAGGTAACGTGTGTCTTGGTGGTGGTCATGAGAGCAATGAACATACTAAACAATGACCCAGCTGCTGACTGGGTAAGGCAGATGCTTTGCACGTTGTTCAAACTAAATCATGACACCTTCACAGCTAAAATGCAGTTTTTAATCTTGTGCAGGTAAAACTTTATGAAGTCAATCCGCCCGTCTGCTGTAGTGCGTGTTCTCTGTAATGTCGAGTGTATTTTGCGCGCTGTTCCGAGCGCAGGGTGAGGAGCTGCCCGCCCGGCGGCTGCTGCACTTCCCCCGAAGCTCACGAGATGGGGCGGGAGGCCCGAAGGAGCGCGGCCCGGAGCGCTCCGGGCTCTGCGCTACCGCCCACGGCCGTGCTCGCCCCGACACCGCTCGGCAGCTCGCTGCCTCTCCGGCACAACTGACTAGGAGGAATTATCGCATGGTGTTTGCCAGGAGTGCTGCTCGGAAAAGGGCAGATGTGTCTCCTTTCAGTCATAACTTTGGAATAAACTCCTGTATCTTAATGCTATTTTTTAAAATAACTTTGGCATGTAAGGACTTTGTGAGGTATTCATGAACAGCTATGATTTCTAATAAATACATTTTTGACTTAGTAGGGAGTTAGCACTTATAGGATAGAACGTGTGCAGATTTCTAAAATGAAAAGAGACAGAGAAAAATTCACAGCAAGTTTATGTTTTCTGCACGTTCTTTAAAGATTTGGCATGACTGTCTTTTCTCCTGGGTGCAGATTTTTTCAAGCTCAAATTTAAATCTCTCCAGTGAGCCTTCAATTAGATTATTTGCTAACAAGCTAACAGGTTCCTCCATCCCTCAAATAAATGATCTACAAAGGAAATAATAAGTAAAATAGTTTGAGTGATGCAGGAACACCTTATTTCACTGATAAATCAGTGTAATGTAGAAAAACACTTTGCTGTAAGGCTTGAGTAGTTATCAAGGCCGTATTATTTGGGTGCTGCTTTTAGCCAGGGGTACAGAAACCATGTAAGTCATTCCTCATTTATTTTAAATACATAATGTGTTGAACACAGCTAGGAAATTAGAGTGAATGGATTAATGACTGAAAAAACCCAGTAACTGGACAGGTTTAATCACGAAGAGCTGGATGAGGCTGCCTGTGTCCACACACACTGATCAGACATTGCTTTTAGGGATGACAGGGCCTGATTGTCGTGTCAGTCATGCCCCAAAACCCAGCACTGAGCACACAGCACACACTCAGTGTTGTGTGGAAGGACTGGTGCTGCCTTCAATAGTAGGAATCACCAACATGAGTTGAATTTTGGACTTGACAATGCTATTGCATGTAGAACCATGAAATGTCTCACTTATCCAATGCCGTATAACTCAGTTCTTGTTTAAAAACAAAAAAAAATAACAAGAAAAAAACAACCAAAGAGTGAAAGATTGGATGCAGTTACCTGGCAGGACATGCTCTCCTCAGTGGGAGGGTACCTCTTGAGATCAATTCCACACAATCCTGCCCCAGCCTGAAGGTCACAGCAGGACTCTGAGGTCACAGCAGGACTCTGAAGTCACAGCAGGGCTCTGGGGTCACAGCAGGCTGAGGTCACAGCAGGCCCTGAGGTCCCAGAGGTCCCAGAGCCCACAGCCCCATTTCCTGTTCCTCTCCCAGAATATTACACAGAGCCTGCAAAGAGGGTGGAGAGTGACCAGGAGCCAGCCCAGAGCTGCCCAGGCCCCTGTGCAGCTTTGGCCATGTCCATTCACATCTGGCTCCCATGGCCTCACCCAATGCCCTTGCAGAGCCCAGTTCCCTAAGGCAGAAGGGGATGCCAGCACACTATGAATTACAGAATCACAGAATCACTGGGTTGGAAGAGACCATCAAGATCATCAAGTCCAACCCACCACTAACACCTCAATTACACTATGGCATGGAGTGCCACTTCCAGTGTTTTTTAAAACACATGCAGGAATGATGACTCCACCACATCCCCGGGCAAACCATTCCAGTACTTTACCACCCTTTCTGTAAAAAACTTTTTCCTAATATCCAGCGTATATTTCCCTTGGCAAGCTTAGGAATGTGTCCTCTTGTTCTGTCAGCTGCTACAATGGAAATGATTCTGATCTGTCCTCCCTTGTAGACTGGGATGCTGGAAATATTTTTCTGGCACCTTGGCTGGAAGATAGTTTGGATCCAGGTAAGATATCTATATTTTCCCTAGAGTATTGATTGACAACCTGGCAAGAGCCAGGTGATAGAAGCTTCTGTGGTTGTTGTGTTACAGATGGGTCTCCCGAGGGGAATTTTCCAGCTTCTGGGCTGGATGCTGCCCGCAAGGCCAGCTCCCATCACAGGGGTGAGTAGTGTGTCCCTGCTGACCCCACAGGCTGAGCCCTGCTTTTGTGGAATCATTCCTGGGAAATGGAAATATTTTCTCTTAAGGTCCTACAAAAGGAAAGACCCAAGCTAAAGGAGAAAATAAATCCCTGAAGCCTTCTGAAATTCTGGACCAGATGCTGAGTGATCTGGAGAGACACCCTGGTGGGTGCATTTTCCCTCATGCTTCCCCTGGGACTCAGCAGCCGGGGGCTTTGGCTGCACATCTGGACTCGCCGTGCCCGGCACAGCGGGAAGGCATCCATGGCAGCCTCGCTGCCCCGCTGCTGCTTTCACGCCCTGCGGGGCTGTTTCCCAGCCTGGCCTGGCTGCAGCTTCTGCCAGCCTCTGCAGGAAGGCATTTGGCATCAGCTGACAGGCAGCCCCAGGTGCACCACGGGCCATGCCCACCTTCAGATCCCCTGCAATTTCCCAGTCTCCAGGCAGATCAGATGTCGGGGCTGTTTGGAGGGGGAAGGGTTTTAGGGAGAGACCCCAAAGCCCATCTGATTTCCTGAAGCCTATCCATGACTTTCACAAGCACTGCCTCCTGAAGATGGCACCTCTCCAATGGGAAACAGCTCAATCTGATCCAGCTGTCCCTCTTCCTTTCTTCAGAAATGAAAGGAGAGCCTGTGCAGAAGGAAGCATTTCCTGAAGGAAGCAATGGCTCCATGCCAGCCCCTACTGAAGGAAGGGAGGCGATGCCAGGCACAGGCACAGAAGGTAATTGCTCTGCCTCTGGGCCTGAGCCCTGCTGAGCCTTGAGCTGCCCTCTCTGCTGCTTGGCAGTGTGGGCACAGCCCGGACAAGACTGGCACAGCCCAGGGGAATTATCCCGAGCAGGCTCCGGGCACTCGGGTACTGAGCAGTCCTGCTGGGATCCCTCCGCGGGAGACATGTCCCGAAACCTGGGAGGGATAGCGGTGGCACTGCCTGCTGCAGTTTTCCCCGCACTTTAGGGAGGATTTCCTCTGTGTGTGAGGGAGAGAGCCCCAGGGCCCTGCACTGCTCCAGCCGCCCCTCCCAGGGATGTTGCTCAGGGCAGGGAAAGAGTGTGGAGAGTGACCAGAGCCAGCCCAGAGCTGCCCAGGCCCCTGTGCAGCTTTGGCCATGTCCATTCACATTTGGCTCCCACAGCCTTACCCGACGCCCTTGCAGTGCCCAGTTGTCTAATACAGAAGGGAATCCCAGCATGCCGTGCAATTGGCTGTGATCTGTGCTCCCTTCTAGATTGGGATCCTGATATGGATTATTTGGAAGTCCTGGCCCATAACCATTTTAAGCCCTTGGAAGATGCCGAAGGCAAGTTCAGTGTGACTTTCCTGACAGAATAATCAGTGTCCATGTGGCAAGAGCTCACTCATGCTACGTTTCCCTTTAACATAATCTCAGGGTTAAAGGAATCTGGAAATATTCCCCTGCTCCCTTCTGAAGCCCTGAGGGATCCCACAGGATTGCTGTCAGTGGGAGGAAGGAACATTTATCTTTCAATCTTCCTACCCTGTGTAATGCCACTGTGTCCTTTCATGTGCTCTGTTGCAGCCACCAAGAAGGGCAGAGAGGGAAGGGGCAGGGCCCAGGGCTGTGCCCCGGGGCTGACCCTTTCACAGCTCCTTTGCCAGCCCCAGGGAGCCTGAGCTGCTCCTGCTGCCACTGCCAAGCCCTGTCCCTGCCCGGGGCTGGGTTTAGAGCTGCTGGCATCTCCAGGGAGTCCTTTTTGCCCCGACTGCCCTGCAA